AGTTCTAAGCCTTCAGACGTTTCGCTGAGCTCCTGGGGTTCGGGTCAGATAAATTATAAATAGATATGGTACCTAGAAGTAACACTGGTCAATTAAAGAACAAAAAAACAAACAAACAGACAATTCCATGTTTTATTTAGACCCGGAATAACTGAGTTATTTGTATGTGTATTATGTAACAAAGATATATTTCTTACCCGCACAATACAATGTGTAATAGAGGGTTAATTAAAACAAGCTGGTATCAAAATTGAATGGCGTATGTTGAATCATCATTTGAATACACTTTGCTGTTAACGAAGTTTTCGGCCGTAGGATGGATGGACGAATGGATAGATAGATAAATAGCGCATTTATTGTTTTTATTTATATAAAAGCTCGTCAGTTATTAAGTCTTAAAATGTTATGTAGCAAACCTAAACAGGTGACAAATACGTTGCTCTTGTTAGGACTAGAAGACTTTTTTTTCTCTCTCATGCCTTTATTTTGATAAATATTTCAATCCGTTACTCTCATAGCCAGAGTTTTACGTCACGAACGTTTGACGTCACGCTACCCTGGAAACAAGCTCGCGCTTGCCTTCTCTGTAAAGGGAACATAATTTTCTTCACATCAGCTGGGAGTGCGCGAGCATTCACTACGCCACAAGAAAAGGAGTCTGGACGTACTTTAATGAAAATTTATGTGAGATATGTTTACGTTCTAGTAGCCTAATAATTGTTATTTTGAAAAGGTGGTACAAAGGAACTGTTGTTTACGAAATGAACGACTCTAGATAATGTGGATTAATTAGGCATGAATCATTGTTTCTTCCAAAACAGGCTCACGTGTTGGGTATGTATCAGTTTCATGATTGTTATATATTTTTAAACTCGGAGCAATATCATATTTCGAAATAAACATCACACATGCTAATCAATAAAATAACTTAACTCTAATTATTTATATTAATACGCTTGCTGAGTTTCTGTAATTCGTAGCGACTATTGGCTCATAACCTTCCGCTCTGTTAAACATTTTCCCGGTGTTTTTATGTCACTAATTTCGTCTATTAGCTCTTGACTTACAAAAGTTCAAGAGTGTTTTAAAAGGAATGAATAGTAGTGACGTCATTAGTACGGTTGTTAACAGTTTATGGACAGAATAAAATATGAAATGTTTCTTCAGTATAAAAAAATGCTAAAACATTATTTAATGGATGATGTTATCAATCGATTTTTTTTTTCATTTTCAAGCCTTGACCACCTAAGTAACCATGAAACTATTTTAAAATTCTGTTTAAATACTTTGCAGCGCCATCTGTAAGTAAAGGCTTTCTTCGTTTATTCGCTTGTTTATTTTAGAGCAAAGCCACAATGAGCTATCTGCTGTATCGGCCGCGGGGGAATCGAACTACAGATTTTAGCTTTGTAAGTCCGTAAATCTACTTGTTTCGAGATTAAACACACCAGAACATCTAGATTAATAATAACTTTGAACTGTCATTGTGCACTGCAAAGCGTTAAGACAACATTTACAAGTATAGTTATTATAGCAATATTTTTCCAACACTTTTAAGTCCACAATATGAAAAAAAAGGTACAAAAACCATGTAATCGTCTTAAAGGCCACAGTAAACTGATGAAAACACAATTGATCCAGACGCATTATTTTGCGGTGGTCTGCGTCTGAGATTTGATGAGATAAAGAAACACAAGACAGGCTTACATTCCAGATTTTCCCGTATCCGTTATGTCTGCAGTCGAGGCTGCGTCAACTGACCAATTCAACGCTTTTATATTTTTCGAGCATTGCCGTGGACACACATTTAATGTCCCTGCTTCAAGAGATTATGGAACACAAGTTATATCATTATCTATAACGAAAGGTTTCGCTCAAAATTCATAGAATGTTTTTTTTTTTCTGAAGTAATGATGTTTGTTTACTATACACCACTGATTTATAATGGAAATCACTCAGACCTAAGCCTCATCCATGATCCTCTTCCAAATTATGGTATTCTACCTTCTAGCGTGCTGTATGCTCCTTTAAGATGAAATAGAAAAGTTTTTAATTACAAAATGTACTCCAGGTTCATCAACCATTAATACGTAGAAAAAATTCGCATGTTAAATGTCTGTGTTGTAAAAAGTTTTTTTTTTTTAATTTCGCGCAAAGCTACACGAGGGCTATCTGCGCTAGCCGTCCCTAATTTAGCAGTGTAAGACTAGAGGGAAGGCAGCTAGTCATCACCACCCACCGCG